AAAAAAAAAAGCAGAGACGAGTGTTTTAATTGATATTTGCTAACCAAATCTAATTACTAATAAGCAGAGACATAATTATCACAACAGTATCACGATTTGAGGTGATTTACCTGGGGTAGATGCCGCTGACCATGTCTTGGGCTAGGAGATCGGAGGCGGCGTGGCTTGGCCCTGCGGCTTTAGACAGCAGCAGGACAACCAGTCCCCTCATCTGAAGGTTGTTCTTACTGTCATAGACGAAGCCTCTGCAACGAAACAGCATCAGCATTAAAGCGCTGCCTCTCACATGCAGCACTCTTCATTGTGTGTAGTGACAACAAAAGCAGCAATGTTTTGGCAAAGACACAGAGTGTGAAGTCAGGACCAGCTGGAAGTCTATCACAGGGCAGACACAGAGCACAACCATTCACACCCATTTTTACACCTATGGCTAATCTAGAATCACCAATTAATACATGAATTTGGGATGAAGCCAGAGCACTGGGAGGCCCCACGCAGGCAAAAGTACATCCAAAAAAGACCTCTGCCAACCAGCTGTGTTCAAACTCACAGGAGGATGTAGCAGGTACCACTTATGCTTACTCCACTTACTGATGTTTTGCAGACATGTGACCAATAACCACGTGATGTCAACTTGCCTTACATTTTCGACATGTGACAATGATGAGTGAAAAGCTCCGATCAGACAAGCCTAAAAACCTATCCTAAACCTATCTCTCTCTAATCCTAACCTCTGAGTTGGACACAAACCAGCTGCAGGCATGAGGCACAACTCCGCAGGTGAACCTGCTCCATTTTTGGTTTGCAACACAATTTTTCCACCTTGGATAGTAGTTAGTTTTTCTGCAAAATACTATGGGCAACTGTGGCAATCTGCTGGCAACCAAAGCAATGACTTTTGGTGCAACACCTTTGAATTCGATGCCACCCAGAGGAATCTGGCAAAGTGCACGTGGCGCCATCTGAATGACCTCAATATCTGCTTCACCACCACCTCGGTTTAATTCTTAGAAGGCAGTGAAAGCTAAAGTTAGGGAATATAAAGCATCATGTTCCACTGGCATGGGATGGTAATACTTTTATAAAGTTACAGTTAATAAACTTTTAATTTAAACAGCTAAAACAGAGCAGCAATTGTCTTATTATCTACTGTAATAAAGCAGATATGCAGGAGTCAGAATAATCAACATTTATCTTAGTATTTCTCTCAGTTCATCATTTGTCTAAAATAAGATGTTTTAGCTCCTCCTCCCTCTAAGGTCACACTTCTTCTGATTGGTTGCCCTGCAAAAACAGTAGGTCTGCTCTCACATTCAGAGATGACCATATTTTTGATATCCCTACTGTTAGACACCAATACATGCAGCATATTTGTTTCTCTGATCAGAAGTGTTATTTATCCAACAAAGGAGCTTTTCAAAATATTGCACATTGCATGCAGCAGTAGTATCGCACTTCTGCATATTCATTTAATGCCATGTTCATTTATAGTTACTGCTAAACTTTATTCCTCAACACAGAAAATAACAAGAAAAAATGATAATTTTTTACTGCAGGACTTTTTTTCTTTTGGATTTGAAGGGTTGTGGTGATGGAGGTGGTCGTGGTATTCCCACCCCCTTCACCAACAATCTTCTGAGGTGTTCACAGAGGCACACGCACACCCAAGAAGACACACACACAAACACACAGAGGCCAGTGGTAGCTGCTTGTGTGGTGGGCAGATTAAATATCTTTTTAGTCTCTCTGGGGAGCGGTTAGACAGAGCACCTCTAATCCTGTCCCTATGGGAGCCCCTTGTGCCATGAATCACGCTCTCGTTAGGGGCTCCGAGGCAGACGAGCAGCCACGCCCCCCTCTGCTCGAAGCCCAGACAGCGGCCTTACCAACCTCGAGCCCCCACCCTCTCTGACCCACCCCTGCGCCACAGAGGAGGGGGGGGGGGGGGGGGGGGGGGGGGGGGGGGGGGGGGGGGGTGGCGGTGGTGGCGGAGGAACCCTAGACAGATAGTGGATGTGAGAGACGGAGCATGAAGAGAGGGAGGGGACGGAGGGAGATGGAGGGAATAGAGGCCAGACAGAAATGGGAAAGCGTGAAAAGATGACAGAAGAAAGAAAGAGGAGTGATTCACAGTGTTGTGCTACCAGGAGGAAAAATGCCCCCGAGCTTTGCCCCCCCCTCCAAAACTCCAAATAGAAAAAAAACCCCCAATCACATAAAACACCTCAGTTTCCAGAAATTTATGATGACACTGTACAGGGCTGTCTTTCATCGCAGCTCAGAAGATTTATTTATGGCTACTTTAAATTTCTACCCAGTTGGAAAATAGTTGCTGAGACCGGGGCGCTGATGAACGCAGCAGCACGGCCCGTTGAGCTAAACCGACCAGAGAGCGAAAATTATGAAGCTGTGGAGTCCAGGGAAGCCTGTGGCCTGAGGGTGGCAGATGATTAATATTTATGTCACCATCCGCACCAGCATACATCAATCAATCACAAACGCCCTCCTGCAAAGGGTGCAAAGGGGGTGGGGCAAAAAGATGATGTGGTAGAAGAGAGCGGGAGCAGAAAGAGAGAAATGGGCTGCTGTCATTTTAAAAGGGTTGCAAACAGGTCACCACGCCTTCTGCTCTGCTACTGCAGCCTAGGAATTCGGGAACTTTAGCCACCGTCCAGTACCGGCAGGGATTAATGCATGCAAATGTATGACCTCACATGTGGTGTCGTATTGATCCCGTGTCTGCCTTTTCCCCCCCAGTTTGCCAGGATTTAACAGATTTTATGCAATGCATCCACCTCTACAGTGCACAGCAGATACATTAAGATGATGATATGTTTAGAGTATTGACTAACAGTTTAAACCGGTTTCCAGGATTTGACTCATATTTCCATAAAGTCAGGTGTACAGCAGGCAGTTCCTCACTGTAAAGCACAATGTGTAGCTGCTTTTAATAACACTGAAAGGATCCACTGATTCTTGGACTCTCTGTGATCCACGGTCCTTCTGCATTTAGTATTAAGAAAAAATTCTTTAAGACATAAAGTGGTTTGATCAATGTGACATTTTCAAACTATTGTGTGTATCATTTCAATCAATATGACCACCTATGCCACATGCTGAAACTACCATTTAAAGTTGAACCAAACCATAGCGTTTGAGGTTTTCTCCAATATTTTTTAAGAAAGAGTACCAATCCTTTTTCTGTTTCTTCACACCAATTTTGGCCCATCTTTATATACTTTTTAGGTCGGCACTTCTGTAAATACTCACAGTATGAAAGTGAAATATCCTAAAGCTATTGTGCAAAAACTAATAACAATACGTTTCTAAAGGGGCCAGGTAAGAGGCAGTTGTCGATGTTTTATTTGCTCTTCTCAGTAGTTTAAAATTATCATGTAGAGCAGAGAAGAATTAAAAACTGATTCTCTTGCCAAGTTATACACAACCAAACTTAATGGATAAAAATAATAAGGCAGATTTCAATGTTTTGTCACATTTCACAGCAACTAAGCGCACCATCTCATCTTCATTTTATTTGTCATTTTGCATTTATGTGTGTACATTTTAATTCATTTAAATAGTCCAAATTTGTAATTCTAAATTGACTATAGGTATGAATGTTAGTGTGAATGGTTCCCTGTGTCTATGTGTTAGGCCTGTGACAGATTGGCGACCTGTCCATGGTGTACACTTTGATAGCTGAGACAAGCTCCAGATCCCCTGTGATGCTGAATTGGATAAGTGGAAGAAAATTAATTAATTGCAGTGCTGGAACTGGATGCAGAGTGGTAACAGCATAGACTGTATATAAAAAATGGACAAAGCCTGCATAAATGCTAACGTTGACTTTGGACTCAACGTTAGCATTTTGGGGGGGTTTTTTAGAGTCAGAAATGATGGTATTTGGATGACAGAGTGAAGCTAGTGAAGCAAGTTATCAGCTAGTTTTATTAACACTATTCTTAGCCTTTCTGCTAATTTATCCCAGTGGGCACTTATGATACTGCAACAAACAGAACAGAAAAGAAAGTGCTGCTGCAAAACGATCAGTCACTAGTCCTTGTTTCACACATTATTCCATCGAAAATCTACAGCCTATGCAAAATGGAAACTAGCCTCTTTTTTCTAATTTAACACAAATTAAAGTCTTTTTTTTATAACACATTTGAAGGTTAAACACTGGCAGCAGCTACTTGTTCACATATTTGTTATTGGGAGTGTTTTTGTCTCTTCAGCAGTTCTTGTCTTGCTCTGGACTATTCAAAAGACCTCCGCCTATCTCATCTATTCTTTTGTACACTATGTTATAACCCTTCAGTCATGCCCACTGTGGGGGCTGAAGATCACATGCAAAGAGTAGAAGCCAGTAGAAGGGAGTTCTAGTCGAAGTCAAACTCTCAAGGACTGTCCTTAAAGCAAATAAAGTTTCTTCTCTCTGGGCTGCAGGCCTCTCGCTGTAACTCCACACTTTGGGGTGAAGTTAGCTGAGCTGCAGTTTTTGAGAATGAAAGGAAAGGAAAAACCGAAACCCAACTCCACGAGGGTCTGCCTGTCTGCTATTGTGGATATTTTTATCTGCCGCGCGTCTATGGCGGAGACACAGAGGGAAATACGAACCAGCCAACCCAAGCTGACAGTGAGGAGTCAGACTGTCAAGAGGTCTGCTACACCCCTCCCCCCCCACAGCCTCCCCACCCCCTGCTGCTACAACACCCAAATGGATTGTCATATCAGATTTAGGTGTATAGGTTATTACACCCTTGGGTTCCTGTTTCCAACACACCCGTCCGCATGGCAGGATTGAGTTCGAGGACTCTTCTTGTTTTCTTTCCTTAGTGCTGTTCCTGATTTATTTTGATAAAGCAAAGTTCAGGCAACTCCCCGGATAAAGTTCAGGGATAATAATGAGTGCCGAGCATTTTTAGTCACTTCCTCTAAAATCCTTCACTGGACGTAAATGAAGGACAAACATATTTCTGAACTTGCCTTTGCACCATATAAACTGTTGCAAAAAATAAAAAAAAGTTTTTGGACTGTGGACTGAGAATATTGTCTGCGGTTCATCTACAATAAATCTTTATTATAGACAGACACATAAAGTTGCAAATCACACAGTTGTGATTTTTGTGTCGTTATTGAAATCACTGGTTGGAAAAACAGAGTCAGTGGGTCTGAAATGTCTTGATTGAACAGCCCTCTTCAGAACAGGACTCTGATTCTTACTCTAAAGACAAGTATCTTTTGAACTTTGGATCATTATCCTCTTGCCTCACTTAGACAACCTCTCCTAAGCTTCAGGTCATGGACCGCTTTCCTCTTCTCCTCCTTCAATAATTACAAAGCACAACAGCCTCAAGTAGCAAAGCTGACCCTAACCTGGATGGTTCCACCACCATGCTTCACAGTTTGGATTAAGCTTTTGTCCTGCAGTGGCATTTTTCCATCGATCCATTCGCTTCCGCTTATCCTTTTCAGGGTCACGGGGGGCCCTGGAGCCTAGATCAGCTGTCATAGGGCACGAGGAGGGGTACACCCTGGACAGGTTGCCAGTCTGTCGCAGGGCCACCACACAGAGACAGACAACCATTTGCACTCACATTCACACCTATGGGGCAAACCCCCCCCCCAAACCCTCCTTTGAGCAAGTGTTTTAGCAACAGTGGAAAGGAGAAACTCCCTTTTAACAGGAAGAAACCTCCAGCACAACCAGGCTCAAGCAGGGTTTCAGTGCTGTAGTTCTGTCTGTAACCAGACTGAAATTAAGCAAAGATACTGTTTCCTTCAACAATCTGGAGCTGACGAGCAACAGCTTTGGCCAAGGAGTTTGGAAATAAACAAGAGTTTGGAAATTGGCCTCGAATTATTGTTTCCCTGGATGTTTTAAAGTAATCTGGACTACAGCCAGATGAAAGGGATTGATTGATAATAGTGTGAGAATATATCCAAAAGATCTGGGGAAGAAACTGATTTGAACTTGGACAACAGAACTGGGTGAGAGACTTGGAGTGGTTGAAGAGGTATACTCTTAAAAGTTTTTATGGAGGTGTTTGTATATAAAAAAATCACTCTGAGCTTTATTTATGAGCAATGTTATACCTAAAAACCTTGTAGTAATTGACATTTTTTGGCATTTCTGATTCATGCGGTGATACATTTGTAAAAATCCTTGAATTAAACACGTTAAAAAACTGGAAAAACAACTGATTTATGTTCTACAAAATTATGTTGGTGCAATAGTTGCCCTTACAATTTTAGCAAATTTGTAATACAAAGATATACATCCTCTGTTTAGGTAACCAACCGGGGAGTTTCGGGGTGATTTCTATTAGTTTATATCTTTAACATGTTTAATTGTAGTGTTGCACCTTAAGTCATCAAAGAAATCCTGCTCATTCCAAATATTTCTTGCAACTAAATGAACCAAATTCAGCCCAAAAACACTTTTGTACAAGAACTCAATCTTTATTAAATCTCAGCCAGTGGCCCCATTCTCTTCACATACAGCAAATTTTCTGCTGAATTGTTATGAGGGTTAATTTGTTTCTTCCTGCAGAGAGCTCCACACTTCAGAGTCAAGGCTAGTGCCAAACTTCTTAGCAGAAGAGCCTACAGTTGCTATCATGCCATGTGTAGCTAATACATGTTATTGTAAGACAGAACAGCAATCAGAGTAATGCATTTAGTATCGGTTTATACGTTTCCTCGCATCTGCCAGTCTTGCAGTCAAAGCTGGGAAATTAACAGGCTATTAGCTGGCTTTACTTATGATATTATAGTATTCACATCAAACTATGGACACTTTCAAACACTTGACCACAGACTAAAGTGAGTCCTCCCTGTACCCCTGCATCAAAATGTAAAGAATGAAGCACTGAAATTTACGTGTATGCACTTTTCCAAATACACATAATTAAACTCCACTCTCAACGCATCGGCTGTTGCTTGACTCAAAGAAAAAACAACAACAAAAAACCCCCCAAACAATAACTGCTGGTTGTGGTCAGCTGTTCTGTAGCCTGACGGTGACAGAGTAATGAAAGGATATACGAGGATATATGAGGTCAAGTGCAGTTGTACAGTTGGCTTGGACTGTCCTATTATTATTTCATGGCAAACTAATGAAATAAAATAAAATCTTTGGATTAGATTTAATGTCTAAGACCACAGAAGAAAGTCAAAGAGGACAACTGATGAATTTCCTTGGTTCAGAAAAACATCTTCTCAACATCTGAGTCAAGAACACTCTGGAGGACAAGTCACAGTCTACATTCAAGACACAGCTTCATGAATGAAAACAGAGGATTTACAGCAAGGTGCAAACCACCGGTTACACGCAAGAACAGGCAAGCCATTTTAGACCTTAACAGAGAACACCTAAAAGAACCTGCACCGAGATCTGAAGCATATCACATTTGTCAAACATGGTGTAGACGTGGGCATGTATGCCTGCCAGCACCACAGGTAGAGTTTACAGAAGAGAAGCATGACCTCAGAGGTGTACAGGGCTACACTCTCTGCTCAAATGTTGCAGACAGAGCTCCACAGGGGAAATCAATAATCAGCCGACGCACACTGCAAAAGCAACCCAAGAATGGAATATTCTTCAATGACCAAGTCAGTCACCTGATCTCAACCCAAGAGAGTATGCCTGTACAGTTATTAAATACAAAACGGAGGGCAGTGAGACCCATAAACAGGCAGTAAAGCATCTAAAGGAAGGAAATGCTGTATATGGTGATTTCTATGGGTTCTAGACTCCAGCAGGTCATTGACTGCCAAAGATACGACAAGAAAATAAACAATGCTTTTATTTAAAGGTATGTTAGTTCGTCTAAATACATCTGAGGCTGTGAAATAGCTGTAACACCTAAAGTAGTAATGCAGAATTATTTTTAAACCCCTTAAGTTAAAACTGAAAGTACGCACTTTATTCCCATATTTCCCTAAAAATCAAGTTTTTAACCTATTTTAGCTAGCTGCATTTTCTAGATGTTATTTTTTTATTTTTTGCAGTTATCTATAATAAACTCGCTATCTTTGTGTTTCTTTGTATTTATGGGGACCTGGTGAACCCGGTGTTTACCTGGCAGTGTTGAGGAGAGGGTGCTGAGTGCCGACCAACTTCCTCAGGTGCATGGCAACGTTACTGAGCTCATCACTGAGGAGGCAGCGGAGGCTCATGAAGGAAGTCGGATATCCCACGATCTTCTCAGCATCGGAGACAACTTTGCTCCAGTTTGAGGATCCAGAGCTGGAGAACAGACTCAGCGTCCTCAGACCTCCTCGGCTGGACAAAGCCACGCAGGACAGTCGTGACCAACAAGGTGAAAACATCTTCTCTCCTACTTAAAAACACTCGAGTAGCCCACAGCTGCTTCTGACAGCAGCTACTGCAAGTTTAAACCGCTCATTCAACCGCTAATGCTGCCACATGTCATTGAGCCGAACCGCGTTTAAAAATACGTAAAAAATAATCTCGAAACTAAACAAACAGAAAGTCAAAGTCAGAATATACAGTTGTATTTCACTACCCACGACCTGCCACTGCAAGCCGCCATTTTTACACACGTGATACGTTACGTCGAAATACGTAGTTAGGGCTGTTATCACATTCCGCCACGCCCCTGCACCGGAGAGCACGCCCAACCAACTCCTTTTTAAAAAAGGGGTATTTTAAAAGTTTGGGGCGGTGTTTTAATCGAAATATCACAAGGTGAGTATATATATTTTATAAAAAAAAATTAAAATTTTTTTTTATTTTGACACAGTTTATTCAGCGGCAAGACCCTACATGTGACGACAGTAAAATATTAGTGACAGCGCCATATTAGAGTCACTGAATTTGTAGATATGTGAGATTTTCTTTCCCAACCTAACCGTACAAAATGAACTGTATAGAAGCTTCTGCCTCTGCCAGGCAAAGGTAACTCCAGTCAGTAATGTTTTACTTTTACGGAGTATGTTCAATTTTCAACTTCCTTTTGAGTAAGTTCAAATTCATAGAAATGTAACTCAAAATTTAGACCTAGTGAGTCAGAATTTTGAGATGCTCACCTGAAATTGGCTTATGGGCAGCAAATAAATAAATAAATAAATAAATAATGAAAACACCAAAGTTCGGTTGCGGGAAAAAAATCCATATTGTTCATTGACTAAAAAATGTTTTAGTTTTTACTATACATGTGTTGAGATTATTTTCATTTAACACTTTTGTCTCTCAAATTTGCTATTTTTTATGGTAAGTTTGTCATGGTTTTTCCTCCTAAATTTAATACTTTTATTTTATATAAGCATGCAGAGGTGAGCTATTATTATTGTTGTTGTTATTGTTGTTATTGTTGTTGTTATAGTGTAATTAATAAGCTAATCTTTTTTTGGTCACTTGTTAAAAATTGCACTGCTGTCAGCACCAGCTTTTTAAGAGAAAATGTTTTATAATCCAGGATCAGAAAAGCAGGTGAGTAAACCAGTAAATACAGACCTTCAGAGTGTTGGTAGGAATCAAACTGGAATGTATGCTGGCGCCAGTGAAACTGACCGACATAAATGAATATGTTATTTAGTGTCTTTCCACAAGTCTGAATGAAGACACTGAAGCAGAATGGAGTAAAATATAAATACTGACCAAATAAGGAAAAAAATGTGTTTTTGATTTAATCAAAACTAAACTTTAACACCTAAACTAAACATCTATCGTCACTCTCCACAATGATAGCTCAATATTTTGTGGGCTGTTTAACCATAAAAGCCTCCACACACATCAATGACAACAGCACTGACCAACAGCAACAGCCTCTCAGAGCAAGACTGCAAAACATGCTCATTAATGGCTCGATGAACATATCAAAGAGCACGTGGTGTTGACCCATCCACCAGATCTCCCCAGATCACATCAAACAGATGGATTTTTCTATTTGGAGGAAATCAAGCTAGTACAACCATTCCTGTTTATCTCTGGATTTTTGAAATGAAAATCCAGAGGTTACAAATGACTTAATTAGTTGAGCCTGAAACAATGTAAGATAATCTACTAATATATAGAAACAATTATTTTAAAACAAGCAAAACTGTAAACTGTCAAAATGTTAAGTTATCATTAACATGTGTTATCTAGAAGTGAGCAAAGATCAAGAAAGGTCTCTGCACAGCAGAAAGAGCAGTGTCTGTGGTCTGCTAATGTGAGGGCCCATCTGCTTTCCATTTGAGTTGGATGTTATTACATACACATTTGTAAAGCTGCTGAATGAGGGCAGCACTGCTCTGTGATTTAATGTGTTTTATATGTAATGTGTGATCATTAGAGAACATCAGTTCTCCTCAGTTTTGTAAAAAAGCAGCCCTCTTTCTTTCTTTCTTTCTTTCTTTCTTTCTTTCTTTCTTTCTTTCTTTCTTTCTTTCTAACTGACAGTGACATTATTTTGCTCCTGCTTCAAACAGCTGTGAGTTTCATATTCAGTCAGATTACAGCAACTTAAAGACATACTTCCTGAGATTTTAGGCCACTATGCACTCACTTTTGGTTAAATTGTGGTTTAGGCCTTCCCTAACTTATTATGTGTTTGTATTCAGGCAAATGTCAGATAAGAAAACCATGAATTTAAATGTCATGTCACGTACTTCAGCTAAGGAAAACCCCTTGAAAATATCAACTGATTTCAAACTGTAATAATGAAAAGTGAGCGTCCTCATGTTGCAGTTCATGTAACCCAATCTTTGTGACTATATAACCGTTCCACAGTGTGATAAGGTAATGCCCTCACAGCCTCAGTGGTTTAACAAAGCTTTCATTGAATCCTCCTCCATCTGCTTATAACAGGACTGCAGAGAAGTCTGTCAAGGACAGCTTACACAACATGGAGCTGCATCCTCTTTTACTGTAGCCACTTACAAAACACACACAGATACAACGTTCTTGTGTTTAGGCAGTAGGAAAACTGCACTTTGTAACTGAGCCATGTATTCCTTTTGGTGATTTTGAGCAAAGAAGGTTAGGATCAAATTTAGTTTTAGCAAATTTGTACCAGAATTCTACTGATTCATGTAAGATTGCACACTCTGAGAAAATAAAGTACATTATTGTATCTTTAGAGATGCATTTGGGCTGTACCCTCTAAGGTACTTCTCTTTTACCCTAGACAGGACTTTAAAGGACCTTGAAAAATCTGGATAAGATACTTTATCTATCCAAAAGTTGGGATATTCTCGTGTTACATCGGCTGGAATTTTAACCAAAAACTATTTAAAACTGTTCAAATAAAGTAGAATAGCTCAATAAAATAAAATACAATGTAACAAGACAAAAAAGCTAAATAAGTCAAAATAGAAGTAGCACAATTAAACAGAAAAAAGTTAAATAAAACAAAAAAGAGTTCAGTAAATAAAAGTCTAAATGAACTAAAAGAATATGATTTAAAAAGCTGAATCTAAGACACTATGAAGTCAATAAGTCAGTGAGCTCAGATATGAGTGGACGGTTCAGACTGATAAAGAATTAAACATGTCAGTTGTATTAAATGTTTTTATGCATCTTAAAATCCAAGACTAGAAGTTTTACAGAATTTTGGTTTACATTAGGCCAAACACAGACCAGATGTTGAAAGACCTTAAAATTATACACATGTACCCTTAAGTCCAGTAATTTGCTTTAGGGTGTACACAGGTGTGGATTTTACATGTACGATCAAAAATTCACTTCGACTGTAGCCCTTTTTCAAAGTGTTAGATTTAAATTACACTAAACCAGACTGCTGTAAACCTGGGGGAGCACATTAAAGAAAGGGCTCCTGTCATGTAGCTGAGCTGCCACTTTGCAAGGCATGGCAAGAGCATGCACTGTAACACACAAGTCATCTCACCCTGACCCCACATCACGGTTCACAGCTCCTGTTCCTGCTGATTTTCCGGCTCAAATGGGTGTCACTATGCCACAAGCAGCCTCAGCAGCAGCAGCACTCTCAGCAGCTTCCCTTATTGTAATTCCACTTTAAGGCAGAGGGATGCATGAACCTCACGGCCTTGTATTCAAAGAAATATCACAGAGTAAAGGGCAGCTGGATCAGTTTTGTATGACACAAAGAAAGTGATGCATTTTAGACATGAGGAAAAAACACAATTTATAAACATTCAGTCACATTGTCTTGTTTAAAGAGCTTTGCAAGACCAGCATGTACCGGCATGAATGTACAGTATATGCGATAATGTGTATACTGAGCTGATACATGTTTTCCTCCGGAACAATCAGACTCAATCAATATGGCCTACCATGATTTATTAGGACAGATTTTTTTTTTACTGTAGAATATTGGATGGTAATGGAACAACTGCAGTAAACAGGATTGATCAGTATAGTGGAAACCACATTGTATAGATCAGCTCTGGAATTGATTTACATTTAAACTGTTGGACTCGTGCTCACAGTTGTATTGGAAAGAGAAATGTCCTGTAGGACTTCTGTAGTATCACTCTCATGAATCTTTCAAGTTTCTGCAAACAGGTGTAATCAGAATAAACCTCAAACTAAGTAAAACTCTGTGCTCATCTTGTCTTTGAGTTGCAGCACATTTCCACACTTCCCCGAGCTGGCTTCTGGCTATACCACCACTATCGCCAAGCTCTGCTTGTAGACCATCTGACCATTGGGGGGGATAACTGCTGCTTTGCTTTGCTATATCCATGCATCTATCTATTCTGGAGCATATCCCAGCTGTCAGTTAATGAGGCAATTCAAGGATATCAAAGATATATTTTAAGAATTTCCCATAAGTGCAATGGGCATTGAACACTTCTTCAGCTACCGTGCAGCTCACAGTTTGGGTTCAGGAGACAGACACTCTTTCTTCTTTTAAGATTAGGCTCCAGTCTTTCCTTTTTGATAAAGCTTAATTAGGATTGGATTTGTTTACCCTGAACCAGCTCTAATTTATGCTGCTTAGGGTTCAAGTTGCTGGCATACTTCCCATGATGCACTGAAGATTTCTCGAGCTCTCCCCATCTTTTCTTTCTCCCTAAGTTTGTGTTTGTGTTTTGTCCTGTTTGTTGTTTGTGGCCTCTCTCTCTTTCTCCTCACACCCCAACCAGTCGTGGCATGTGACTTCCTCCTTTGTGAGCTTGGTTCTGTTAAAGAGGAAGGGAGATCTTAATATTATAGAGTCACATTATAAGGCCTCTTGAGATGGCCACTGTTGTGAACTGTTGCTATATAAATAAAAGTAAATGGAAATGACACAGTTCGTGGCCCCAGTTGGTCCTTTGCATGTTGAGAAATTAGTGAGAAAAAGCAACACTGTGAGGGCCAGATGGAAACTTAATTTCAGGCACGCTCTCTTCTGTCTGCACACGCAC